GTTCGGAACATCTGAATTTCGACCCATTGGACACAGTGAAATCTGGCTAGGGAATTGCAAGAATTCATATCTGCCAGTTTCACACCACTGAGATTCTACTGTACGGTTAGATAAACGTCTCCTAGTTTCGTTAATAAAAAAACAAGGGTATCTCAATTTGGTTTCAAAGTAAGCGTGAGTGCTCATCCGAGTTTCCAGCACCTCGCGACATCGCCACCGAGTGTTGTGTAGACCGAGGCACCCGGCTCATCACCCTTCTCGTTCTGTTGGGCTGTTCTCGAGGCGGGTTTGGCTGCTTACGTCAGGAATGCATCGCTTTTGCTGATGGAGACAGGCTCGAAGCACCCACATTGTTTTATTCTTCACCAAGCACTGGTCCTCTGACATGGAAACGGCACCCGCCACGTTGGTCTGGTGGTCGTGGGATCGAATACGGGCAGCGGCGGCCACGTATTTTCGATGCAGGCGAAAATTCTAGATGCCTGTGTACTTTGATTTAGGTCCACGTTAAAAAAACCGAGCTGGTCAAAATTTAATGACCCTCCACTAAGGCGCCTCTCATAACCATATCGCGGTTTGGGGACATAAAGCACCGTTATAATTATTTGAAAAATGCCCACGTTCGGCGTCACCGAAACTTGAGCTTTCTTGGGAGCTCTCCCGCTTTGAGGCGCTATAGTTTCTTACGGTATTTAGGCTGGCGTTTCTAATTTATTTATTATTTATTTATTTATTTATTTATTTTTACATACTGCAGCCCAATTGGGCTATTCCAGGAGTAAGTTTGCTATACATCAGCACACACAAGAATACAACTCTTAACAAACAGGAATAGAATACTCAATAAACGAATTCCGAATCAATACATTCATGAAAGAAATTACAACTCTTAATAAACAAATCGCAAATCAATACATTCATGCAAGAAATCTTTTAAAGGCAATGACCTAGTTTACCCAGGCAATACATTCCATTTTTCTATAGTGTGCAGAAAAAAGCTGAATTTAAATAGGTTAGTACGTGGATGGAATGGTGTCAGGTTGAGTTTGTGGCTATTCCTTGTGGGTTTCAGTTTATCAGGAGACAGATATTCATTAGTTAATGCGTAGCCTGGGGTATTAACAAGAATATGGAGCAACTTTAGGCATTCAAGCTCGCGTCGCTTGGACAGGGTTCGCAGACCTAGCGTAGCAAGTTGAGAGGAGGGTGAGAAATTCCAGTCGTAACGGCGGAAAATGAAATGGATGGCTTTCTTCTGAACGGATTCTAGTGCGCTGATGTCCGATTTTTTATGAGGGTTCCATATGGAGCATGCATATTCGAGGAATTGACGCGATATTTTCAGCTGACGACAGTAGCATTTGACATTAGTATAAGACGTGTTAGAGCATTTGCGATTCAATATCGCAATTACACAGAGCTACAATTTACCCTAAAAAGTCGCCGTCAAAAACATTCTACGCCAGGAGTCATTTAACAAGCGCTGCGAATGTTAAAACAAGACGCCCTAATTACAAGCAATATGTGCAATAGGCAGCCATCCATATTGATAGAAGGGGGGGGGGGGAGGAGATGGGCAAGTCTGCTCTATGTCTACAGAATCAGATCTTTCACGTCTATGGCGGCGGCTCACGTGCTAATTTTTGAGGCTTATGTAGGCCGAGGACAACCGATACTATTGCATTCTAAAAACGGTTCACTTCGACCCACCTTCATTTCCGGAAGGCCGCTGCCCAAAGGCACGCAGTTGGTTGTGAGATGTATCCCACCATTTCATTACTATATATTCATCCATTCCAACTCTTGATTTCGCTCCACCTCGACTTGCCCCCACCCCTTTACGAACCCTACCTATGAGGATATATACGTATATACTTTTAGCACTTTGGGACTTGCACCGGCTCTACGCTGAAGCATTTCAGAATATGAGCTAAAGGCATATAAAATTCTTATTCCTTCCAATTGATAACTGAAACGTGCAATTCTGCTCTGCACGATGCGCATGCGATGTTGGGCACAACTCTTTCATGCAGGCCGTGTTCCTGAGCGTGTACCCAGACTTGTTTAGCATGTTCGGCGGCGCCTTCGTACTCTTGGGCGTACTCATCATCGGACTGCGCAAGATCGCCCAGGCAGCCACACCCGACTCTCGTCTCAGAGATAAACTTCGATTTCTTTTATAAATACAATCTAATATTTTTTATCGCCTCATAAATTATTTTACGGTAACGTACAAATGCAAACTTGTTTACTGCACATTTATTTAATGACAAACTACATAGTTTACAGAAGTTTAGACGAACGCATGCTCAAGAACATCGTGCATGACGGATGCGATTCACTTCTATTAAAGGGGTCGTGAAACGGTCGCTTTACAACGACAATGCGGCACCATCGGCAGCCACATGCACTAACTGTATCATCAGCCCGAGTGGACCTGCATGGACGCTCAGTTGCTTATCGAGGAACACGGAACTTTATGGCATATTGGGCACGCGCAAGAAGCGCTCAGCGGCGTCTGCCATGCGCGATCCGCGTCCCACAAGGACGCTGCTTAATATGACGTCAGAGTTCAAGTTAGCGCTGATTGTGTATGACAAAGACGCTGAGGAGTGTCCCAGATGCACGCACGCAAGTATCAAAAAGTTTTGCGTACCTCGATAGGCGAAGAATTATTTATGATGATGTCACCTAGTTATTGCGTGTGGACGCCGGTGGCTTCGCATTGTCGCTTTAGAGCGAGCGCTTCACGACCCCTTTAAATGTGCAAACTCATGCGGGCAACGTAATATGTTACGTATATGCACCAACCACAAAAATCGAAGCCTTTTAAATGGGAAGCATTTCTTAGCAATCGAAAGATCGTTGAGCATTTTTATCCACTAATCTATTTGTATAGCTGTATGTTTATATCTAGCCGCCTGCATTTGAGTGCCCTTGTGGTCGCCTCTTCAACTTTGTACTGACCGAAATTGGCATACGAAGCTATGAAGGTCAGACGGACATGACTGTCCAGTCACGCAGTAACTATCGCGAAAATCCTGGCTGCGAAAATCCTGGCTCGTACGTCACGAAACGCTTTCCGCCAGTGACATGTGGTACATACCCGAATAACATTTATTATCATATATTGTGGGTATGTGGGTATGCACCACTGGTGATTCGCAGTTTATGCCCAAGAAAGGCGAGAATAGACATTGGTAATCTAAGTGGGGGAGGGTCAAAAAACGTGGCATCAGCCGCATTGACTTAACAAAGACAAACGAAAATAAAGATCCCGGCAGAAATTAAATCTTTATAGTCAAGTATTCTACCACAGAGTCATGCAAGGTCTTAAAACAGCTTTAGAAAAAGACCAAACGCGCAAGAATTATGTCGTTGCAACGTAAATTGTGGTTGCCATGCTGGCTGTCTAATTTTATCACATGGTAATAAACATTTCTTATGTACTCCTATAGTACAGATATGTTTTATCAGCTTAATGTCAAGTTTGGTGCTAGTGTTGGCTCCGCTTTTATGACAGTCAAATAAACTTTACATTTGTACTCCTACAACTTGGCAAGCTATATTCTAGTGCTCCTCAACCCCAGAGCTACACATAACGAATGCTAGATGTGATATTCACGGCAACACACGGGAAATGCGATTCGCACCATAGCGTGCGCTTTGTTTGAATAAAACAGATGTCTGTGCTCAGACACATATGCCGACATTACGTGCCTAGTAAGCATAAGATGTGCACACTACTCCATTTACAAAAAAGATGTTGATCTACCGTTTAACCTGACTCAGCGACTATGGTTCAAACAGCACCTAATCCTTGTTTTATTTATTTGTAATCATCACCGAGGGTCTCACGACTGTTTTGAACTTTGAGACCCTCGTCTGCATGTTTCATGTCTTGTAACATCTTTTCATGTCATGATGATAGGTAAAAAAAAATGGCCACGTATCTGCATGTTTCACTGCAAATGTCATCGAAAGACGATAGCCCTGCGTGTGAAGAGAGTGAACAAAACGTTATTTGATGTTCTGCATGAGAAAATTGGTGAATTGTGGTGAAATTGTTGCATCGAAGCACCCCAAGAAAGAGTATTGTCTTTAAAAACAGGACTAATTCACTCAAGGTACCCTGCTGCCCCCCCCCCCAATCAAATAAATAAAGAACAGCACAGACAGCTGCTGGCTGACTGCGTCGCATGGAACAGTTTCCCACAATGCGTGGGATATGGAATTTCAGCTACCGGACGCTCTTTTTACAGCTTAGTCATCAGTGCAACTGTATAGATTGCTCTAGAACACTGTGTCGCTGGTATTCCCTACACACGTAACGTACCAGAAGCTATATTTCAAGAGGACATCACAGCCATGTAATTGTCGTATGCATGAAGCAGTCGTTTTCACAGTATTAAAATGAAATTGTATCTTGGCTCTTCATATTATCACCTTAAAAAGCTTTATAATCTAAAGCTTAACTTTAATTTGTTGTATGCTCACAGTTATCCTTGCACCCATCGTTTCTAAATTATACCAAATTTGGGTATGATAGTTTGCATCATATTCGACCTTTTCAATGTCAGTAACGCGGAGCGGAGCCTCTTCAATATTCATGATACAAGACCAACTAACTCAAAGCTTATCTTTTACTGAATCAAGCAAACAGCGATATTTTGTGCAACGTGACCTTTGGAGACATTACTGAAGACGTACGCACAAAATGGCAAGTGACACCCAACATTCCATTCTTTAAGCCTTAAAATAATAAGAAGGTGCACAAGTTACGCAAGTGAATACATATACACTAACACTCAGTAGTAACGTGTGAGTTTGCAATAGTAAATCCAACTGGCACATTCGTGGAGACTACTGATGTGGCCCCACCATGCAAAAGTATAATACTGTTCAAATACAACCTTTGCACATTTCAAACAAGGCAGCACTGGTGGATAAAAAACGAAATGATCCACCCTGGGCTTTGAAAAAAACGGGACACCAACACGTCAACGCAGAATGGGCAGCCTGCCCATCTTTAATCTATTTTGCAGCTGCTGCAAACAACAAGGAGAGAGAAAAATAGAGCATTGTGTACAGCAGTCAACAACTCTTCTCAACAGCGGCTACCGCCACACACAGATAAGTCAGACATCAGATTCACAACGAAAAGCACTCTGGAAATGCAGACGTCAGCGTTGCACAAGCATTGGAATTGGCTTTTGGGATGCTGCAGATGAAGCTGTGTGAGAAACTGTGATGTGTTTGGAGGGTTCTGTTTGTCTACGCATCTCATTTACGCAGGCTTTAGCATTTGCATCCCTTCCGTCTGAAGCAAGCCTCAAACAGCATGTCGTATTTCCGATAACCTTTGTGAATGAAAAGCAATAATGCGAGGAGCCCAAATGCCTTCAATCGTTGATTTACTGGGACTATTCACAACGCATTTCAAGAAATCTATTTGACGACAAGGTATAACTACACACCTTTGAAGCCAGTGCTTTTCCAGAAAATATGTGACAATATATATCAGGTGCTACTGTAGAATAGAGCATTTTGATAACTGGCCATTTAAACAGAAATCAAAACTAAAACAGTGACTTACATACAACAACCCAAGCAAGCACCACAGGTCTTTGTGCACACATATACATGTATGCATATTGCGAGTAGTAATAGTAACACAAAATGGTTGTGTTTTGCTGTGGAAGAGATTGCTTCAGAAAACGGTGAGCATTTTCTTTTTTCGCTCGCTAATGTTGAAGCTGATGATATAAAAACAATCCAGTAAGTAACAAATTAACTACCTACTTACATCAATACTTAGGAAATCAAATGTCATAATGTGCCACTGAAAGTTTGACTACATAAGATCCCTAATGCTGCCCCCTGCACAGCTGGCTAGAAAACAACACATATTATTAACCATGTGCAATAACTTTCTGAAGCAGACACATAACAGCAAAAATACGAAAACTGTGATCAATCGCTCAACCGCAGCGGAAATTTATGTCTTTTTGTTGAACACGGGGCTAAAAGGCAAAAACGCACAATTCCGAATGCCTTCCTTTTAAGCGTCCCTCCTACACAGGACAAGAACACAGCTGCCCTAGCATTACCCTACATACACAAACTTTAGCGCTACATAATTTGCTTCAAAAAATGCATGAGGCAACAGGAAGCCTTCTTGTTTTGATAACATAACACACGGCAGCTGCTCAGCACACTTGTACACAAAAACAAAAGAACAATGCAACTACAAGTTCCAAGTCTTCACACTTCATTGAACATTGTTCGTCACTCAAAAATCCAGCAAAAGTTCCACAACAAGACTATGCCTATTCGAAAGCCTAAACCTATATCACAAACTTCTCTTGCTGGCAAACAATCGAGTAGGGGAGGGGGAAAAGCGGGTTGCTTCCAACTTGAACGACTAAAAAAAACAGAACCAGCAAGCATTACGTGCCCGAAAAAACGTGACGACGCGCGAAAAGGCGCCACTTTCCAAGCTATGTACACTGCAGTCAGGCCATCTTATATGATGAAAAGGCTGCGGAGATGGGGGGAAGGGGAGGCACGCAATATTTTCTACTTTAGGTGGGTGATGTGGGAGAAGAAGACAGCGAAGTGGTGCGAGAAAAGTGAGAGCGCGACACATCTGGAAAGCTGAGAAATGAGCGTCTTCCACGTCTGCCTCGGCACGCAGCCACCCCCTCTGCAGCATCCAGCATCATGACAAGATGTAGTCTTCCATGAGTAGGGGATCATCGCTCTCCAACATGTCTAGGGCCCTCGCTTCAGCTTCGCCGTCACCTGTTGACAGGAGCAGTATTGTCACTGGCCTATCCGAAACTCAAGCCTCATTATAACAAAGTTGCATCTAACACGAAAACAAGCTTGTCATATTCAAAAAATGGTTACTTTTTGCACACTATTTCTATTGACCTTTCTTGATTTACTTAACCGATACTTTGTTATATCTGGGTTTGTTACATCGAGGTTTGAGTGTATTTACATATACATTTCACATACTGTGCATGGAACCAGAAGCATTTGTAAGGAGGAGCTGCACTACTTCAGTACAGCAAGGTGTAGTGTCCTTAACATTATAAAACACTTATAGGGGCACTGAAAAGAAAAATGAAGAAAAACAGTGCCCCTCCGACAAACGTTTTCTGGCTTATCTCATGTGAGGGAGAGTGAAGCATCTTTAAACTTTATTTCCTCGACTGCTTGCTGCAACGTCCATCTATGGAACATAAAATCAGGGCAAAACTGCTCGCCCACTTACATTTCCCGCTGACCTGAAGCTCACTAATATGGGGTGACATTCTCGTAAAGGAACAGCTTAGTAGACATTGGGCCCAGGTGAGCACGCCGCTTCGTACACATGTGCTTACCCTCAACCCATTTGCAATTCGAACGAGTCGTACTGCGCTCACAGAAGTTTAGGTGTGCTAGTTAAAAATTTGGATGGCTGTATGTAATTAATAACTATTGTTGTATCCATTACCAAAAAAAAGTAACTAAATACGTTACGTGTTACACTAACAAAAAAGGAACGCATCACCGCCCTTCGTTACCAACAGAAAAATGTAACGCGTTACCGTTACAGTTACCAAAAAAAGTAACAGACGTTACTCATCAATAATAAATATCAATCATTTCGTTTTTGCTGCAGGAACCGTCAGTAAGAATATTTTGAGGCTCACACTTATTTTTCACAAAAAACTTCTAAGCCAAACGACAATTATAACCAAAATGCTGATTCAACTAAAATTGTTTGTACAAATGCACTGAACTTTAGCAATGTCGTAGAGCTTATAGTTAGATGCCTCTATAGTTGCATGCGATGGCTTCGGACTCTAGCACATGGTGAAGCCATTTCTCTCAACGTCACATCATGCACAATACGAGATTCAATCATCAACGCCTTAACATGAATTCCCAGAAACGAGCCCAGTTATCTGATCTCGTAAGAATAAACGCTCTCCGCTAAAGACGCGCCATTGGACTCTCAACAAATTTACGGAAATTCTTTCAGCGTTCTTCTTATGGCAAGATAAACGGGAAATTTGTAGTAGTAAAGAATTGTTTTAATGGCCTAGTCGCCTGGGAATATATTTGTGCGTAAACATTTCTTGTTCATTTTAACCGGTTTATTTAATGCGAAAATTGGAAGTGTTTATAATTAGAAACAGTAACGAGAACACAGTATGTCATTGTTATACGGGCCGAGTTCAGCATGCCAACAAATTACATCCTCATCATGCAGTCGACAAATAGGTTGGGCATACCATCGGCAACTTCGTGGTACAAAACAGATTGGGGCGTAAAAGCGCTTCATCAGCTTTCTACTCCTCCACAGCAAAAAAAGGTCCATAAAAGTCTATAAAACCTTTTTTATGAACAGAAGAGAAAAATCACTTCCTTTCTGGACTGTTAGGCAGAGGTAGAAAAGCTGCATGTCCTCTCTGTGCTGGTACAGAATTGTGGTGCTGTCGAGCACAGAGCAGCAGCCGCAGCGATCACAATGAATAGCCAGAAGACCGTCGGTCTTATTCCAAACATTATTGTTGTGCTCTCGGAGATTGTCATTGAGACATCTGCTTGCCTGGCCGATGTGGCAGGCTCCACACACACGACAAATGAACTCTGTAGACTACCCCCCCCCCCCCTGGCACACATTCCAGGAACCGAGTAAGGTGCCTTACTTGGCTTCCAATTTTGCGTCTCCTGACCGGACCTCTCCTCTGTGAGAGCGAGTCTAACTTGTGTAGGGCAGAAAAAAAACCCATGGACACCAACGTGCCGGCCTATCTGAAGGCTGATGTTTCGAAGAAAGGACCGCGACTTTTTCGCATCTGCTCATGCTTTCCTGTACGCCATTATCTGCAGCACGTCGTACGTGCCCCTGAGCTCTGTAGATGCTTTCGGCCACAGCAACCAGCAATGTCTCAGGATAACCAACCTTTCCAAGACGAGCCACAGTGCACTATACCATCTTATGTCCGCGAAGGTATTCGGTGCCTGCTATAGATGCCCCCCTCCCCCCTAATTCCTCAAACTAAATTCCGTCCACGCTTTCTTTGTCAACGCCTGGTAGGCGACAGCGGTCCAACGTCTCAACAAAGGAATTCGTCGGGGCGAGTTATGGGAATGTGGCACCTTTGGAATGAAAAAATAACAAGTAACGTGACACCTCACGTTACCGAAAAATACTAAAGGAAGTATGTTACCCGTTACAGTTGCAAAATTGTAATTAGTACATTTCTAAGTTACTGAGAAAAGTAACGCATTACCGGTAACGACGTTACTTGTAACGCGTTACCACCAACACTGCTGATAACTGTTGCCTGCTTCTCTGAAAAGACTGATTTTTTTTATTAAAAATATTACAACAAAAGATGTAATCTTCCTTGTTGTCCTAAGCATTAGTATTGCTGAGCACCTATTATAAACTCCTAAACTTCATGTTACCTTAAAGCACCCCCATTTAGAATTGCTTGAGACCCTGTTTATAAAAGAAATACTTTAGTGCTGATACCTCATATATTTGTCTTGGGATGCTTCCAGCACAGCATGTCAAGCATTGTGTCACAGCAAAAGCAAACGGGTAGAGAGTCTTCAGACCATTCGAAAAATTAAGCCTGCCCTAATGGTTGCCACAACACGCATTCAAACGATTAGGAAATGAAAGTTGTTGGTGGTGCGACGAAAAATGAAGAAAATCCTGTGCTTGCCTCTGATGTATGAACAGAGGACAAGAAAAAGAATAAATCGAGCCAAGATGATATACACACCTTCATAGTCATCCAGATCCCAAACGTCAGCGTCTTCGTGAAAGGCTAAAATAAACGCAAGCATAACTTGGTAACAAGGGAAAGTAAGAACGTACGTGTATGTACACCAGCTATGGTCTGTTACACACTCACACTGAATGTTTTCAGAGTGCCAAGAAAAATTTGGTAGGCTTGTGCGAATAGTGGATTTTTAGGTTCGAAGTGGAATCGAAACGAATAGTGATTTTGGTAGAATAATTTTGAATTGAATGGTATATATGACATATAAAGAAAAATGGGCATATTTATTATGATCTAACTAACCTGCACAATATTTTTTAATTGAAATAGGGCCTCTATGCAATACCATTTTTTTTTGTTCAAAGGAAGTCGAAAAAGCCTCGAGTAGTAGCAAGATTTGAATTATAGCAGGATGCGAGTCAAAACCCTGAAAATATTGTTACGCATGCCTGGGAAGAAAACAAAGATGGCTGAACATGCTGGCTGCCCCAAGCTGGAGGAAGAAAGAAGAGGACGACGCTGCGATCATCAACCTGTTGGCCGCTCCGGCGCTTCTCATCGCGACCAAAATAAACGGCCCCTTTCAGCCGTATACGTCCTGGTCCTCCTTGTGCGTAACAGATTGGTGGAAGCGTGCTGGGTAAGACAAACCAACGACGGGAGCTTCACTTCCAGGACTTCGCCGCAGCCGCCGCCTTGCCGGACTCCCGCCTGCGCCGATCGTAATGGCCCAAGATCAGCCATCTAACGCTTCAAGGCCAACTCCAACGGGTTCCGTGCCCTACTACCGAGTCCGGCCAACCTTTGGAGGAAAATCGGGAGAGGATGTCGACGCGTGGCTCATCCAGTACAAGTGAGTCAGCAAGTCCAACGGCTGCGATGCCGCCGCTCAGCTCAGCAATGCGGTCTTTTGCCTTACGGATACTGCGCTCGTGTGGTACGAAAACCACGAGGACACACTGACGACGTGGGACGTTTTTGTTGCAGAGCTGAAAGCGTGTTTCGGAGACTCGAGCGTCAAAAGTAAGTGGGCAGAGCAGACATTGTCTCAACGCGCGCAGCTTCCAGGTGAGACATGTAGCACGTATATAGAGAATGTGCTGAAGCTCTGCAAGGTGGTCAATGATCAGATGTCAGAAGACGACAAGGTAGGGCATTTGCTGAAAGGCATAGCCGAAGATGTCTTTAATTTTCTCATCGGAAAAGAGCACCTGAGCTCGGTGTCTGACGTGATTCGGCATTGCCGAACTTTCGAACAGCTGAAAATGCGCAAGATTGCTCCAAAGTTCGGCCGGCTCACAAATGTTACAACGGTTGCCAGCATCGACA